CATTGTCTCTGCGATCGGGGGGGGGGGGGGGGGACAAGGCTGTTCATAGGGACGACAGAGGCTTTGTGGGAGAAGAGAGGAGAGGAAAGAGGAGAAGAAAGGAGAGGAGAAGAAAGGAGAGGAAGGAGGAGAGGAAGGAGGAGAATAAAGGAGAAGAGAGGAAGGAGGAGAGGAAGAAGAGAAGAAGAAAGGAGAGGAGAGGAAGGAGGAGAGGAGAGGAGAGGAGGAGGAAGGAAGAGAAAGGAAGAGGAGAAGAAAGGAGAAAGGAGAGGAGAGGAAGAAGGAGAAGAAAGGAGAGGAAGGAGGAGAGGAGAGGCGAAGAAGGAGGAAAGGAGAGGAAGAAGGAGAAGAAAGGAGTAGAGAGGAGAGGACGAATGTGAGGAAAGGAGAGGAGAGGAAGAAGGAGAGGAAGGAGGAGAGAGGAGAGTGGAGGAAGGAGGAGAGGAAGGAAGAGAGGAAGAAGGAGAGGAGAGGAGGAGGAGAGGAAGGAGGAGAAGAAAGGAGAGGAGAAGAAGGAGGAGAGGAGAGGAAGAAGGAGAAGAAAGGAGAGGAAAGGAAGGAGGAGAGGAGAGGAAGGAGGAGAGGAAAGGAGAGTAGAGGAAGGAGGAGAGGATAAGAAGGAGGAAAAGAAAGGAGAGGAGAGGAAGGAAGAGAGGAGAGGAAGCAGGAGAGGAGAGGAAGCAGGAGAGGATAGGAAGGAGGAGAAGAAAGGAGAGGAGAGGAAGGAGGAGAGGAAGGAGGAGAAGAAAGGAGAGGAGAGGAAGGAGGAGAGGAGAGGAAAGAGGAGAGGAAGGAGGAGAGGAGAGGAAAGAGGAGAGGATAAAAAGGAGGAGAGGAAGGAGGATAAGAAAGGAGAGGAGAGGAAGAAGGAAGGCACTTCGTAGAGAAGGAGGAGGGAGCATTTCCTCAATCTCCCCTCCCCCAGTGATCAGACCATACATTGTAACTTTGTAGAAGGAGGAGGAGTCATTTCCTTAGCCTCTCCTCCCCTAGTGATCAGACTGTACATTGTAACTTTGTAGAAGGAGCAGTCATTTCCTCAGTCTCCCCTCCCCCAGTGATCAGACTGTAATTGTAACTTTGTAGCAAATCACAAGGAGAGAGGGTCTGATTCTGCACGTGATCAGAGACTGCAATCCTCTCCCCCCTATCAGCTCCTTCCTGATTATCTGTGCCTGCTGCCGGTCCTGACCTCAGGCCCCTTCCTTTTTATCTGTGTCTGCTGCCTGTCCTGACCTCAGGCCCCTTCCTTTTTATCTGTGTCTGCTGCCTGTCCTGACCTCTGGCTCTTTCCTGGTTATCCATGTCTGTGGCCCAACCTGATCCATGGCTCTTTCCTGGGTTTTTGTGTCTGCTGCCCACCCTGACCTTTAGCTCATTCCTGGTTATCCATGTCTGCTGCCCATCCTAACATCTGGCTCCTTCCTGATTATCTGTGCCTGTTGGCTGTCCTGACCTCTGCCTTCTTCCTGGATATTTGTGCCTGCTGCCTGTCCTGACCTCTGCCTTCTTCCTGGTTATCTGTGCCTGCTGCCTGTTTTGACCTCTGGCTCAATCCTGGTTATCCAGGTCTGCTGCCCATCGTAACCTTTGGCTCCTTCCTGATTATCTGTGGCTGCTGCCTGTCCTGACCTCTTGCTCATTGCTGGTTATCCATGTCTGCTGCCCATCCTGACCTCAGGCTCATTCGTGGTTTGCCACGTTTTTGCTGCCTCTCCTGACCTCTGGTTCAAACCTGGTTATCCATGTCTGCTGCCCATCCTAACCTCTGGCTTTTTCCTGGTTATCCATGTATTGGTTGGCCGACCTTTCCACGCACATTACCTTTAACCGCATGCCGCCCAGCCTCTGTACATGTACGGTGGTAGAGCGGCACTCACAGGCAAAACCACGTTTTAATACGTGTGTTTTGTAAACAAATAGGGGGCGCACGCGAGGTGCGCTGCCGCCCTATTTGTCCCGCGGATCACCGCCGCAGATATCAGTTGCCGGGTCACAGCCGCTCCTTAGCGGCTATGTCCCGGCGATCGGCGGCAAACAGTGACAGAGAGCACAGCTGCAGTAGCTGTGCTGTCTGTCACTTCCCTGTCAGCTCGAGGATGAGCTGATCGAGAAAGAACAGTTTCACTTTCTCGATCAGCCTTGTCCCACCCAGCACACACCCCCCCAGTAAAACACTCCCCCTCACTCCTATAACCCTTCCCTGCTAAATAAAGTTAACCCCTTCCTCCCCATTGCCATTAGTACAGTGTCAGTTTTTTTTTTTTTTTTTTTTGCACTGATCACTGTATTAGTGTTTTTGGGGATGTCAGTGACCCCAAGTCAGTACCCCCCAATGTCAGAATGTCCACCGCAGTCCCGCCATAAGTCGCCGGTCGCTGCCATAAGTCGCTGATCGCCGCCATAATTCGCTGATCGCCGCCATTATTAGTATAAAAAAACCCCCTAAAAATCCCAGTATCTTTCCCGCCATTTGTAAACGCTATAACTTTCACATAAACCAATTAATTTACACGTATTGGGTTTTTTTTTTTAGCAAAGACGTGTCGCAGAATACATTTTGGGAGAAATTTATGGCTAAATTTGATTTTTGCATTTTTTTTTACTGGACATGTTTTATAGCAAAAAGTCCAAAATATTGTTTTTTTTTCCTCAAAAGTGTCAGCCTTTTTTTTTTATAGCACAAAAAATAAAAACCGCACAGGTGATCAAATACCACCGAAAGAAAGCTCAATTTGTGGGGAAAAAAGGATGTAAATTTCATTTCTGTACCGTATTGCATGACCGCGCAATTGTCCGTTAAACTAGCGCAGCGCTGTATAGCAGAAAAATGGCGTAAATTGCAATATCTATCCCATAGTTTGTAGACGCTATAACTTCACACAAAGCAATCAATATACACTTATTGGGATTGTTTTTACCAAAAAACATGGAGCAGAATACATTTTGGCCTAAATTTATAACCAACTTTGAGTTTACTATATATTTTTTATAGCTGAAAGTAAAAAATATTGTTTTTCTTCAAAATGTTTGGCCTTTTTTTTGTTTATAGCGTGAAAAATAAAAAGCCCACAGGTGATCAAATACCAGCGAAAGAAAGCTCTATTTGTGTGAAAAAAAGGACGTAAATTCCGTTTGGGTGCAGCGTTGCATGACCGCGCAATTATCAGTTGAATTAGTGCAGCGCCGAGTAGCAAAAAGAGGCGTGGTCATTAAGGGGGGTAAATCCTCTGGAGGTCAAGTGGGTAATGGCCCCCCAGTCTTAGTCCGTTGGGTTCAGTATTGAGTTGGCCCCGCCCTTTCCACGCACATGACCTTTAATGGCCCCCCAGTCTTAGTCCGTTGGGTTCAGTATTGAGTTGGCCCCGCCCTTTCCACACACATGACCTTTAATGGCCCCCCAGTCTTAGTCCGTAGGGTTCAATATTGAGTTGGCCCCGCCCTTTCCACACACATGACCTTTAATGGCCCCCCAGTCTTAGTCCGTAGGGTTCAATATTGAGTTGGCCCCCGCCCTTTGCAGCTATAACAGCTTCAACTCTTCTGGGAAGGCCGTCCACAAGGTTTAGGAGGGTGTCTATGGGAAGGTTGGACCATTCTTCCAGAAGCACATTTGTCAGGTCAGGCACTGATGTCGGGGGAGGAGGCCTGGCTCGCAGTCTCCGCTCTAATTCATCCCAAAGGTGTTCTGTGGGGTTGAGGTCAGGACTCTGTGCAGGACAGTCAAGTTCCTCCACCCCAAACTGGCTCCTCCATGTCTTTATGGACCTTGCTTTGTGCACTGGTGCGCAGTCATGTTGGAACAGGAAGGGGCCATCCCCAAACTCTTCCCACAAAGTTGGGAGCATGAAATTGTCCAAAATGTCGCCTTAAGAGTTCCCTTCACTGGAACTAGGGGGCCAAGCCCAACCCCTGAATAACATCCCCACCCACCAAACTTTACACTTGGCACAATGCAGTCAGGCAAGTACCGTTCTCCTGGCAACCGCCAAACCCAGACACGTCCATTAGATTGCCAGACAGAGAAGCGTGATTGGTCCCTCCAGAGAACACATTTCCCCTGCTCTAGAGTCCAGTGGCAGCGTGCTTTACACCACGGCATCCGACACTTTACATTGCACTTGGTGATGGAAGGCTTGGATGCAGCTGCTGGGCCATGGAAACCCATTCCATGAAGCTCTCTACACACTGTTGTTGGGCTCATCTGAAGGCCACACCAAGTTTGGAGGTCTTTAGCTATTGACTCTGCAGACAGTTGGCGACTTCTGCGCACTGTGCGCTTCAGCATGCGCTGACCCCGCCCTGTCATGTGACGTGGCCTACCACTTGGTGGCTGAGTGGCTGTTGTTCCCAGTTGCTTCCACTTTGTTATAATCCCACTAACAGTTGAGCGTGGAATATTTAGTAGCCAGGAAATGTCACGGATGGACTTATTGCCCAGGTGGCCACCTATCACGGGACCACGCTTGGAGTCACTGAGCTCCTGAGAGCGACCCATTCTTTCACCATTGTTTGTAGAAGCAGTCTGCATGCCTAGGGGCTTGATTGTATACACCTGTGTCCATGGATTGGATTGGAACACCTGAATCACATGATATGGAGGGGATTGGAGCACCTGAATCACATGATTGGGAGGGGATTGGAACACCCGAATCACATGATTGGGAGGGGATTGGAACACTTGAATCACATGATTGGGAGGGGATTGGGAACACCTGAATCACATGATATGGAGAGGATTGGAGCACCTGAATCACATGATATGGAGGGGATTGGCACACCTGAATCACATGATATGGAGGGGATTGGAGCACCTGAATCACATGATTACGAGGGGATTGGAACACCTGAATCACATGATTGGGAGGAGATTGGAACACCTGAATCACATGATTGGGAGGGGATTGGAACACCTGAATCACATGATATGGAGGGGATTGGAACACCTGAATCACATGATTGGGAGGGGATTGGAACACCTGAATCACATGATATGGAGGGGATTGGCACACCTGAATCACATGATATGGAGGGGAATGGAACACCTGAATCACATGATATGGAGGGGATTGGAACACCTGAATCACATGATTGGGAGGAGATTGGAACACCTGAATCACATGATTGGGAGGGGATTGGAACGCCTGAATCACATGATATGGAGGGGATTGGAACACCTGAATCACATGATTGGGAGGGGATTGGAACACCTGAATCACATGATATGGAGGGGATTGGAACACCTGAATCACATGATTGGGAGGGGATTGGAACACCTGAATCACATGATATGGAGGGGATTGGAGCACCTGAATCACATGATTGGGAGGGGATTGGAACACCTGAATCACATGACTGGGAGGGGATTGGAACACCTGAATCATATGATTGGGAGGGGATTGGAACACCTGAATCACATGATATGGAGGTGATTGGAACACCTGAATCATATGATTGGAAGGGGATTGGAACACCTGAATCATATGATTGGGAGGGGATTGGAACACCTGAATCACATGATTGGGAGGGGATTGGAACACCTGAATCACATGATTGGGAGGGGATTGGAACACCTGAATCACATGATTTGGCAATATAATGTATTCTCCTATTAGGTGCCTGCATGCTGAGTAATGTGTAAGAAATCTACAAAGTTACAATGTACAGTCTGATCAATGGGGGAGGAGACCAAGGAAATGCCTCCTCCTCCTTCCTCAAAGTTACAATGTACAGTCTGATCACTGGGGGGAGGGAAGACTGAGGAAAAGCCTCCTCCCGTTACAAAGTTACAATGTACAGTCTGATCACTGGGGGAGGAGAGACTTTGGAAATGCTTCCTCCTGCCTGCAGCAAATTGACAACATCGTCTCGGCCTAGGCAATGTCACCGGAGTGAGGATCGAGGTTGGATTTTGAATGATCAAATGTGGAACTATTTCAGAAAACAGACACTCTTGCTGTGTATTGTGTCGGGAATTTAATAAAGCAGAATTGTAAAGTCAGTGACAGGTTCCCTTTATAAATCTGACGAACGAGCGAGGAGATCACATCCTTCTCCAGAGTGACAGAGCCTCGATCATCGCTGGAATGAACACGACTTCTCCGACTGAGGACAGCCATCCATTACCGCCCCCCAGACACCACAAAGAGATATCAGTCTGTCAGTCCTGGCAGCGGCGGCCCTGGCGAGGCTCATTTCAGACTCAGAAAATATTGTCTCGTCCTCAAGGTAAAGCAGCTACACCTCCTAATCAAAGACTCGCCGGCCATAAAAACAGCAAAAAAAAAAAAATATATAATTTTATTTAACAAAAACCTAAAGGTTTTCATAAGAACAATTTATTTATTTTTTTAACAGAAAAAATCTCCTCAATTATTTATTACAAGTACTTAAAAAAACCCTAAAGGTTTTATAAGAAAACTTTATTTTTTTAAAAAACATTAAAAAAAAAACTAAGTATAATTTTATTTAACAGAACTTTTTCAAACCCCCCCCCCCCCCAATTTATTTATTACAGGTACTTAAAAAAAACTAAAAAGGTTTTATAAGAACAATTTATTTTTTTATTTAACAGAAAAAATCCCCCCAATTTATTTATTACAGGTACTTAAAAAAAAAAAACCTAAAAGGTTTAATAAGAACAATTAAATTTTTATTTTAACAGAAAAAATCCCCCCAATTTATTTATTACAGGTACTTAAAAAAAAAACCCTAAAGGTGTTTATAAAAAACAATTTATTATTTTTTTAACAGAAAAAAAATTTCCCCCGATTTATTTATTACAGGTACTTAAAAAAAAACCCTAAAGGTTTTATAAGAATAATTTTTTTTTTTATTTAACAGAACTAAACCCCTCAATTTATTTATTACAGGTACTTAAAAAAAAAACCCTAAAGGTTTTATAAAAATAATATTTTTTATTTTTTTTTTAACAGAAAAATTTCCCCCGATTTATTTATTACAGGTACTTAAAAAAAAACCCTAAAGGTTTTATAAAAAGAATAATTTTTTTTTTTATTTAACAGAACAAAACCCCTCAATTTATTTATTACAGGTACTTAAAAAAAAACCCTAAAGGTTTTAATAAGAATAATTTATTTTTTATTTAACAGAACAAAACCCCTCAATTTATTTATTACAGGTACTTAAAAAAAAAAAACCCTAAAGGTTTTATAAGAATAATTTATTTTTTTTTAACAGAACAAAACCCCTCAATTTATTTATTACAGGTACTTAAAAAAACCTAAAGGTTTCATAAAAACAATTTTAATTTTTTTTTTTTAACAGAAAAAATTCCCCCGATTTATTTATTACAGGTACTTAAATAAAAAAAAAAAACCCAAAAAGTTTTATAGGAATAATTTATTTTTTTTTTAACAGAAAACAAATCCCCCAATTTATTTATTACAGGTACTTAAAAAAAACCTAAAGGTTTCATAAGAACAATTTATTTTTTTTTTAACAGAAAAAATCCCCTAAATTTATTTATTACAAGTACTTAAAAAAAACCTAAAGGTTTCATAAGAACAATTTTTTTTTTAACAGAAAAAATCCCCTCAATTTATTTATTACAGGTACTTAAAAAAAACCTAAAAGGTTTCATAAAAAAAAATTATTTTTTTTTAACAGAAAAATCCCCTCAATTTATTTATTACAGGTACTTTAAAAAAAAAAAAAATTATTCTTATAAAACCTTTAATTTTTTTTTTTTTACCAGAATAAATCCCTCAATTGAGGGGATTTTACTGTTAAAAAAAAAAAAATTTTCTTATGAAACCTTTAGGTTTTTTTAAGTACCTGTAATAAAAAAAATTGAGGGGTTTAGTTCTGCTAAACTTAAAAAAAAAAAAATTATTCTTATAAAACCTTTAGGTTTTTTTTTTTTAAACAGAAAAACCCCTCAATTTATTTATTACAGGTACTTAAAAAAAAAAAGGTTTCATAAAACCTTTTTTTTTTTTTTAACAAACAAAACCGCTGAATTTTTTATTACAAACTTAAAAAAACCCTAAAGGTTTTATAAGAACAATTTATTTTTTTTAACAGAACAAATAAATCAATTTATTTATTACAGGTAACTTAAAAAAAAACCTAAAAGGCTTCATAAGAAAAATTTAGGGTTTTTTTTTACAGAAAAAACCCCTCAATTTATTTATTACAGGTACTTAAAAAAAACCTAAAGGTTTCATAAGAACAATTTTTTTTTTTTAACAGAACAAATCCCTGAATTTATTTATTCAGGTACTTAAAAAAAACCCTAAAGGTTTCATAAAACAATTTAATTATTTTTTTAACAGAACAAATCCCCTCAATTTATTTATTACAGGTACTTAAAAAAAACCTAAAAGGTTTCATAAGAACAATTTATTTTTTTAAACAAAAAAATCCCCCCAATTTATTTATTACAGGTACTTAAAAAAACCCTAAAGGTTTTCATAAGAACAATTTTCAATTTTTTTAACAGAACAAATCCCCTCAATTTATTTATTACAGGTACTTAAAAAAAAAAACCTAAAAGGTTTCATAAGAATAATTTTTATTTTTTTTTTAACAGAACAAAAACCCCTCAATTTATTTATTACAGGTACTTAAAAAAACCTAAAGGTTTCATAAAAACAATTTATTTTTTTTTTAACAGAAAAAATCCCCCCAATTTTATTTATTACAGGTACTTAAAAAAAACCCTAAAGGTTTTATAAGAAATAATTTATTTTTTATTTAACAGAAAAAATCCCCCCAATTTATTTATTACAGGTACTTAAAAAAAACCTAAAGGTTTCATAAGAACAAGGGTTTTATTTATTTTTTTAACAGAAAAAAAAATCCCCTAATTTATTTATTACAGGTACTTAAAAAAAAACCTAAAAGGTTAGAATAAAAACAATTTTTTTTTACACAGAAAAAATCCCCTCAATTTATTTATTACAGGTACCTAAAAAAAACCTAAAAGGTTTCATAAAAAAAAATTTTTTTTTTTTTAACAGAAAAATCCCCTCAATTTATTTATTACAGCTACTTTAAAAAAAAAAAAAATTATTCTTATAAAACCTTTACGGTTTTTTTTATAAGTACCTGTAATAAATAAATTGAGGGGATTTTTTCTGTTAAAAAAAAAATAAATTGTTCTTATGAAACCTTTAGGTTTTTTTAAGTACCTGTAATAAATAAATTGAGGGGTTTAGTTCTGCTAAATAAAAAAAAAAAAAATTATTCTTATAAAACCTTTAGGGTTTTTTTTTAACAGAACTAAACCCCTCAATTTATTTATTACAGGTACTTAAAAAAACCTAAAGGTTTCATAAGAACAATTTATTTTTTTTTAACAGAACAAAACCGCTGAATTTATTTATTACAGGTACTTAAAAAAACCCTAAAGGTTTTATAAGAACAATTTTTTTTTTATTTAACAGAACAAATCCCCTCAATTTATTTATTACAGGTACTTAAAAAAAACCTAAAAGGTTTCATAAGAACAATTTATCTATTTTTTTTAACAGAACAAATCCCCCCAATTTATTTATTACAGGTACTTAAAAAAAACCCTAAAGGTTTCATAAAAACAATTTTTTTTTAACAGAACAAAAATCCCCTCAATTTATTTATTACAGGTACTTAAAAAAAACCTAAAAGGTTTCATAAGAACCTTTTTTTTTTTTTTTAACAGAAAACCCCCCCCCCCCCAATTTATTTATTACAGGTACTTAAAAAAAACCCTAAAGGTTTTATAAGAACAATTAATTTTTTTATTTAACAGAAAAAATCCCCCCAATTTATTTATTACAGGTACTTAAAAAAAACCTAAAAGGTTTCATAAGAACCTTTTTTTTTTTTTACAGAAAAAAAAACCCCCCAATTTATTTATTACAGGTACCTAAAAAAAACCTAAAAGGTTTCATAGAAAAAAATTATTTTTTTTAACAGAAAAATCCCCTCAATTTATTTATTACAGGCTACTTTAAAAAAAAAAAAAGGTTTCTTATCATAAAAAAAATTTTTTTTTAAACAGAAAAATCCCCTCAATTGAGGGGATTATTACAGCTACTTTAAAAAAAAAAAAATTATTCTTATGAAACCTTTAGGTTTTTTTTTTAAGTACCTGTAATAAATAAATTGAGGGGTTTAGTTCTGTTAAAAAAAAACCCTAAAGGTTTTATAAAAATTTATTTTTTTTTATTTACCAGTAATAAACCCCTAAATTTAGGGGTTTAGTTTACAGGTACTTAAAAAAAAATAAATTTTCATAAAACAATTTATTTTTTTTTAACAGAACTAAATCCCCTCAATTTATTTATTACAGGTACTTATAAAAAAAACCTAAAAGGTTTTATAAGAATAATTTTTTTTTTTTAAAGTAGCTTAATAAATAAATTGAGGGGATTTTTCTGTTAAAAAAGAATAATTTTTTTCTATGAAACCTTTTAGGTTTTTT